CATTCAGCCTCTTGAAGGAAAAAAAAATTGGGGGGAGGGATGCAAACCAATGACTTCGGTAGTGAGTGAAAATATGTTCAGATCTTTACATGTCAGGATACATTTTATTTGACATGTTCATTGCTCTCCCTTTATGTGCTCCCATACTCCCTCCCCAATATTTACATCCAAGCATAAAAAAAAAGTATATTAAACAGCATGTCCAATCCATTCTCTCTCTCTCAACTCTGCCCCAGCATAATAAAAATCAAAAACAAACAAACAAACAAAAAACTTCTCATCCGTGAGTAGTAGTCCTTTCATCCACATTTAAATGACTGTGGTTGCCAGTTATCCAGTGCTGACAGTAGAGAGGGATATGTGTGTGTGTGTGTGTGTGTGTGTGTGTGTGTGTGTGTGTGTGTGCGCGCGCGTGCGTGTGTGTCAAGGCCACGGCATCTCTCCCGAAGGCTATGAGCTAGCTGGTACACAAGCTAGCACAAAGCTAGCTGGCACTGGTGCCTTCCATCACCTGCTGGGCCTGCTTCTGTCCCATGCAGCACTGGGCTACTGACTGGAACAGCCTAGTGACGGAGGGGAGGTAAGATATAAACATCCATTTCAGAGTGGAAGAACTGTTCACAGATACTGCTGACATTTCTTTTATCTTCACTATGTGTAAAAATCTTTGACAAAGCCAAAAATAAATGAATTCATCTTACTAAGTGGTCTTTTAGGTGCTTCTACAGATCTCTATTAGTATGTATCACATATACAACACACAGTCAGTAAGCACTCAAATTAGGGAACCTACTTTTCAATCTCAGGGGCACAGTGTACAAAGTCATGGCTCCAGAATTTGAAGGCAGGGTTCTTAATCAGCTCGATGAAGGTGATCAGAAGACCCCATGGGTGAGGCCTGTTCACTATCAGCCTCTCCAACAGAACCCTGTGGTGGGGGGTGGGGTGACAAACCTTTAGCTAAATGTACAGTTAACTTCAAGGTTGTGTTGCATGGCTACAACTATACTAACATAACAGTGCTGCTCCTGCTTAACCACTGAAGTCGCTCAGACTGTCTCACCTGGTGATCTGCTCCTGGATGGCCTCTGTGTTGGCCTCAGCAAACAGATAGAGCATGGTGCAACTGAAATAGTGAGTGTGGCTGTTGGGATAGCGCAGCTGATTGGCAATTGCATTCAAGAACAGGTAACGCCCTGAAACGACAATGCCAGAAACTTGATCAAAACATGCAACATACTTGAACAAAACATGCAAAATAAAGCTTTTTTTTTTTTTTTTTTATTTGGCTATACAGAACGTACCAAGTAAAACACCAGTGCTTTAGAGAGCACAAAAAAGGAACAACAACGTATACTGAAGTCAAATGAAACTCTTGTAGTATCACACTTTCTCTACAGATGTCCTGGGAAGTTTGCCTAAACATTTTGTACTGATAAGGTCACACAAAGCACTGCTTGTCTACTATCTGATAGAAAACTATTACAGTTTGTACTCTGCCACCTTACCCTCTGTGTCTAGGTCTACAGCCAGGTTCTGGAAGATGTCCATGTGTGCAGAGTGAGTGATCGTGCTCATGGAGGGGGTGCTGCCCTTGTTGTGGATGTGAGCGATTGCCTGTGTTCCTACATACAACACCAGAGCATTGATCAGCTGGATGTTGTAGCGGTTTCCTGGCTCATTAGACACCTGGGAAACAAAAAAAGAACATATTAAATTATTAGTCAAATATTTATAAACAAACAAACAAACTTTACATACAAAAGCTCACTTCAACCATTGTATATATTACAAAAAAGAGCGATAAGAATTGTGCATAAGATGGGGTAAAGGGATCACACCAATGTA